AGGCATTCCCGCCGGCCTGGAAGAACAGTTTGGGTCGCTGATGCCTATCCCAAACCCCGGAGGGAAAAAGGCCGGGGGAGGCACTGAAAGACATCGCTGTCATTGCCTGTCAGCATAGGCCCAAGCCAAGATCCAAGGTGTGCAAAGCTGTGCCAGGGCTGAGAGGCTGCCTGGCAATATTTCTGGATCCAAATCCCTAATCCCATTTCAGCAAATGCGCAAAAGTTTCTGAAGCACACACAGCCCGGTTCCTGATGGAACTCTTTCATCTTGTCCAGATCCTTGGCTGTAAAATGGGACAGGGTGTAAATGGGGTTAGAAAGAAGAGATGGGCTTCAAATGGGGAGTGACACTGGGGAAGAGGAGTGCGGGTGGGGATGGGACAGGGGGACATCAGGTAAGGACGAATGGACTTGCAATAGCTGCAGAAGGGTGAAGGAGATGGCATTCAAATAAGGAAAGCTACCTTTCTATTCCACACAGACAGCTTTAAGCGTTTAGTAGTGGGATCATAAAAATGCATATAGAGATACTGAGATAGATGGAAAGAAATGGGTTTGTGTGTGCATTGACAGGAAGTGATAGGCATAAAACATCAACAGAAGGTTAAGAGAGGGCAGCTAATAAGGATGAGAGGTAGAGAATCAGAAAAGAGATTGGCAACCAAACGTAAATCAAAGAGTAGCAAAATGAACCTGTTAAAGCAGTGTTAGGAAAATGGAAAAGAAATGGAAAAGTAAAAAAAAAAAAAAAAGAAAAGTAGGGCAGAAGAAACAGGGTTAAATGAAAAAGTCATAGGATGTGATAAAAGATGACAGAAATAATAGAAGACAGACATTATGTTAATAAGAGAAAGGAAAAATAACATTTTTCTTAAATGGACAAACATTCAAAGAAATGACAAGAAAGGAAAAGAAAAAAATTGCTTTGACTTAAGTAGCTTAATTTCCAAGAGAGGTAATTTGCCATTTCTAACTCCCAAAACTCTCCTTCCTTGCTTCTAATTGGTGATTGGGGCATTACATTCATGAACTCTGAAAAGCTGGAAGGAGTGAGGCTGAGCCAGTAGGCTGCTCTTTTGATCTTCTGTTCAAAATACTCAAATGTGTAGAAGTTGCCACAGCAGAAAGGCTCTCACTTCAACGTTAACATTAAGTTATTCATTGTTCAATTTTCTACTTCAATTGGCTTTAATTTGCCAAATTTTTATCTCAAGCCTTCATCACCAATAAAAAATTCCCTGTAAGGTTCTACCCAGAGAATGCCATCAAGGAAGAGCTCTGATGACTGTGATCCACCTATCTACTCACGCCTGAAAACAAAAGGGAAAGTGTCCAGGTGTCCCTAGGAGTAGGGATCAGATAGTGATTGTGGTCATACTCTGAGAGACTGATCCACATGGGAAGGATCTGAGTTCACATCCAGGGACCTCCCTGAACATACCAGGTGTTCATAATCCCAGGCTGGCTGAGACTGGGGATAGATGAGTGTGTTTAGATTCTGGTGTGGGGGGTGGTGGCTGTCTCTCTGTCTCCCTCATTCATAGAAGGAAGGAAGAAAACAAAAAGTGCAAAAGTAAGCTTTGTACAGTTATCAAAAAGCAAGTTATCCTTGCACTGGTGGTAGAATTTGGGAACTATACTTCTCAAGTGTGACACGTTAGAACTGCCTTAGGATAATTTCTTTTGGTTGGTTTTTGTTCGTT